CATCCTGTTTAAGGAAAAGTACGTTTTCGCCTACAGTTTGAGAAAGAAGTCAGATAGTTGTCATGAAATATTGCAATAGATTTGAACCATGTTTTATGCAGTGTAGGCAGCATTAATAAATTGACGGTATTATGAATAAACAATTCGCAATTGTAAAGAAGTTCATAATTAGAAACTTTTTTAAAACCGAAAGATATCTTTCTTTAAGTATAAGATTTAAAGAAGGCGTAGTTTTCTATCAAAAAAGTACAAGAAATATTTTTTTTCTTACATATTTTCCATAAAATATATTTGAATTTATAAGGGCAGTCAAAATAAAGGATAAAGGGCATACTACTTAAGTAGCCAGTTTTTTGCAATGATACGTTTTGCTATTTGTCAGAACGAAGCTCGTTAAAAAGCCCGCATCCTATCATGAATGAAATGACTTCAGAATAGACTACATGATAATCAGTATCACAATCTGAGTCAATGCCGATTAGCAAAAGAGTATCAATCTTTCGCCTATGTCGGCATGTTCCGTGATTTTTGGCGACTACTGTACTATCTGAACATGGCAGACGTGGGAAGAGAAGTATAGTAGGTGTAGCTTAAGTCCCACCACCAATAAAAAACGAGGTCTTGCGGAAACCACTCCTGTCTTAGGGATCGTGTGCCCTCGTTGTTTCCGACGAAACAAATATCGTTCCCTTGACTCTTTTCCCGCTTTCAGAAACGTAATACCTGATTATTAGATTATAAGTATAAAATGGCACGTAAAACAGAAACCAGTTCCGAAATCGAGCTCAGAAAACTGGAAGGGGAAAAGCTGGAATGTGAAAATATGTAAAAAAAGAGTTCAAGTCAGAGTTGAAGTTTTGGAAAGGGTTGGCAGATAAAGAAAGGAAAAGGACATGATTGGCGGGTAACTGGCGTCAGGTAAACTCTCAGGGTTACGCTTTGGACTTAAGCTGAACAAAGTCACGATGAGTGCTTCCACCGGCGATTGAAACTTCGTCGTACTTGCTGAATACCGGAGTCTGAAGGTTCGTAGTGCGCTTACCAACAACTATGGTTCCGAAGGCCAGATCGCGGGCGATCTCATCGAAAGACTTGTTTTTGGTCTCAGGCATGAAGAGGAAGAAGAACACCCAGCATACCACCACGATCACCAAAAACGGCAGATAGACGTAGCCCTTCATCAGTTTCTGCGTAAAAAAGGGTAAAAGAACCGTTGAAAAGAGTGAGAATTCACATAAGTTACAGGTTGATTGCGTAAACGCTATTTAGTAAACTAGCAGTGAGAGCAATCAGTCATACAGTCAGTCAGTCAGTCAGTAAGGTTGAAAAGATGTACATGCCATTGCCGGGACAAGAACTCTATTCGCCTGACGCCTCATATTCCTTCTCGAAGTCATAATCAGAGGTGGTAGCAGAAATGGGTGGTTCTTACGTAGGGAATTACAGTGAGCAGCAAGCAGCCGTGCCCACAGCAGGCTATCGATCGGCCTACACGAGGAGAACGCATACTGGCTATTAATTAATCGATAATTTAACACTCAAGCTACTGTCAGCCGTCAAGTCACCACCCAATCGTGTCACTACCCACGCCAGAACAGAAGCTGATTGGTTCGATGGACATCGTATTACACGTGTTTTCTTCCTTTAATATGTTGTACCAGTTACACTCAAAGACTTCTGCTTTTGCCCTCTTCTTGTCGTGTGCTTCCTTGGGGGATTCACACGAAGCGTGATTAGACGGTGACGTCTCGGTTTTGGCTACCGTTACAATAGGTCTATTGCATAAACGTTATTTAGTGAACTATCTGCGAGGGCAATCGGTCATACAGTCAGTCAGTCAGTATGACTATGAAGATGTACATGCGATTACCGGGACAAGAAATTTATTCGCCTGACGTTTCATATTCCTTCTCGAAGTCGTAATCAGAGATAGTAGCAGAAATACGTAGTGAATTGCAGAGAGCAAAACATCAGGCGGATAAAGTTATTGTCCCAGCTATCCACTTAACTTCTTCTGAAACAATTGTTGGGACTCGCATTTTCGCTTTGATCGGCAAGTATGATTACTCCTGCAACTGTTTGTTGGCATTTAGTGAAGAGTGCGCGGTTTTCCCATTGAAATTTATGCTTTTGGCCTCAGATATTCAAATTAAGTCTATAAGGTTTCATGCTTAACGATTTACTGCGAATTAGCAAAATAACTTATGAGGACGTTACAAGGCCGAAATTTCACAACTGAAGTACCTACCAGAAAGCGCACGGGTGTAAAAACGCCTGCAGCTGTGTCGTGCAACCACATCATATGGGCAACATCAGTAGCTGAGCTTTTAACTAGTACCTGTGCTGTAAGTGTGGTGAATTATGCAAAAGATAGGATACTGCTTGAAGGGGCAACGATTCCTTGTAAGAAACGCTCTGTTGCATAGTATACATAACTACAATCCTATTCCGTTATAGTGAACCTGTTTTGTTTTCTTACTTTATATAATCGTGGATTGCAGTGCTTTTGATACATTATGATTCTACGGGGCTTCTTGCGTTCATATTCAGCATTTAACACTCAGCTGCACTCCCCATACGGAAACGTGTAGCGTCCTGCGGTTATGTTTAGTTTTATTAATTTAAGTTTAATCAGTTTAGTAAAGTTTAATTTGTGTTTAGTTTGAATTTAGTTTATCATTTACTTTTATTAGTCTTGGTTTCGTTTTCAGTTTAGTTGGTATGATTTAGTTTACCTTAGGTAACTGAGTTTAGTTTAGTTTGGTTTTCAGTTAAGTTTTAGGTTTATTCTTCAACTTCATTGGTTTTATTTTAATTTTGATTATTAGTTAGTTCCTGTAGCTTGGTTATACTCAGTTTAGTCCGTTTAGTTTAATTAAAGACCTGCGGTTGCTTTACGGCTTAAAAATGGGGTAAAAGTTTACCTTTAAGGATTTTAGTTTCATCTCGAAAATTCGCATTTCTTTGTGCAGTTTTCCGATTTGTGCAATTTCGCAATTTGCAGATTTCTTGTTTCCTATTGGTTGTATTCTACAGTTAAATGATCGCTCACTTTTTTGTTGCCAAAAATTAGGTTATTTAAATAATTCTTGCGATTGTTTCCTATTTAAATTTACTCTACTTTTTTAGTTACTCTTTCTTTCTCCCGATATGACTCGTACATAAAACGTTATTACTACCGTTAATGTGATGTTACTTACAAGGAATCATTACCCCTAAAGGTTATTAGGCACATTTACATTTTTGTTTTTTTTGGCAAGAGAACTTACGTTCAGGGTTGGAAAGGTGGAAATGACGATGAGGTTGCACAGCCACTGAATGCTCTGACTGAGTGAGTAGGCAGCTCCGCGCGGACCCTGTCTGAAGATCTCAGACACAATCATAGCGGGAATTGGACCCAGCCCAACGGCGAAGCAGGCCACGAAAGCGCAGATGAGAACAACTGAGGTGAGAGCAAAGGGGGTCCGTTCCTCAGCAGACTTGGAAAGACCAATGTTGACGATGATAGTCAACAGGAGGAGAGTTCCCGCCATGCAAACAGTGGGCCACAGGAGCATAGGTCTTCGTCCGGCCTTTTCGATGAAAAGCACGGCCACAATCGTACAGAGGACATTTAGTATCCCGATGCCGAGGACGGCGAATTCTTTCTTGGACGGTTCCACGCCAGCTGCCTCCATCATAATTGAAGAATTGGCGATAACCTATAAAAGGAGGACAGAAATATGTTGGAGGAAAAAGATGGTGAGTTCGCAAGCGTTTCATCTACCACTGCGCTGTAAGACCCC